ACACACACACACACGCACGCACGCACGCACGCACGCACGCACGCACACGCACACGCACACACACGCACACACACGCACACACACGCACACACACACGCACACACACACGCACACACACGCACACACACGCACACACACGCACACACACACACACACACACACGCACACACGCACACACGCACACACGCACACACGACTGAGGTATTTGGCCCTCTTCGGGCGTGCCGTGGTCCTTGCGCGGCCCCAAGGCGGCTGCAGGAGTGGCCCCAGGCAAGAGTGACCTTTGGTGCGCGACTTTCGGGGGGGCGCGGGGGACCAAAACTACGCGCGCAAGCCGCTGCTGTCGCACCTCGCTCAACGATCGGGAGCCCCAATAGGCCCGCACCAAAGGTCACTCCTGGGAAAGGTCACTCTTACGTGTAGTCGGCCAAGATACGAACAACTTATCGGGATGAAGAACCGGCCCTTGGAAATAGCGGGTCGGGGCTTCTGGAGATCCCGCATTTCAGAAGTAAAGAATCAGGACATCAGATGTCTGGGGTCTGGGCAGGTGACGGCATCCAAACCCTCCCCCTACCAGCCATTTATTCTCCTGAATCCTCCGCCATCACCCGCCTCCTCCCCATCATCTCCCACCCATCGACCTCCTCCTCCTCCTCCTCCTTCCCCTCCTGCTCCTCCTCCTCCTCCTGATCCTCTTCGGAAGGCACTCCTCTCCTCCTGCGGCCTGGGCCAGGGGCACCGTCATTGCTCCAATTCCCATTCCCCCTCCTCCTCCTCCTCCTCCTCCTCCTCCTCTTTTTTGACGTTGGCCAGAGTGAAAACTGCGTTTGTTGCGTTCTTCCTCCTTTTCTGACGTTGGCCAAACATGAAGACTGCGCTTGTTGTGTTCTCGTTCTTCATTTTTTTGTTTCCTCCTCCTCCTCCTCCTCCTCTTCGCCCTTGCTGGCCACCCCCCTGCCGCTGTCTCCCCCCCCCAGTCCTCGCTCTTGGCGCCCGCGGCAGGCGCCGGCGGAGTGCTGTTGGCGCCCGCGGGCCTCTCGCCTGGGGGGGAGGGCGGGGACTGGAGTGGGCAAGGGGAGGAGGGGGGAGGAAAGGAGGAAGCAGGCAGATCTCGTCGAAGGCCCCAGGCGGGCCGGACGCCTCCGAAGAGGACCGCGTGACGATCACCAGTGAATGTTAGCAGCCCAGTGGCCCAATGTGCAAAGTCTTCAGCTTTGCTTCGCCATTCATGCTTCGCCAGCTCCCCAACTGGAAGGGAGGAGGGGGGAGGGGGGAGGAGAGAAGGAGGGAAGAGGGAGAGGAGAGGGAGAGGGGACAAGCTAGGTGCATAGGCATCATGTCTGACGTCCTACCCCCCTCCAATCCCTTACAAGTTTGTAGATGTCCCATCTATTCGCACAGTCGGATGTCGAACAGGGCAATGATCCCGAGAGAATACGCGATGCATGGTAAAGCACGGACAGCCGACGTCGTCGCGTCGAGAACGCAACGTATTTTGACAACGAAGTCAGAGAAAAACCATACATGACACAAGACGGGGCATACAAATGGACGGTTCGGAAACCGGGAAGCAGAAAATGATATCAACGCTGCAGCGGGAGCACGATTTCGCAGGACCGAATCCGCGAAAGTCAGACCAGCGCTGAGGTGGCAACACGATTTGGAAGGACTTGGAGCGCGGAACCGAAGCCAACGCTGCAACGGGCACATGATTCGGAAGGACAGAGAACAGGAAAACGGAGCCAACGCTGCAGCGGGAACGCCATTCTGAAAGGACTGAACACGTTCGGATTGGAAAAAACAAATACGAACTCTGAACTCGGCGACATCCTGCTCACAAGAACAATACGCAGAGGAGGCCGGGGCACCTCGCTGGCGTCGTCTGGGGAGAAAGGATAATGGTATACATATTGTATAATTTTGGAGGCAGCGAGGAGGGCTGAGGGAGGAGGAGGGAGGAGGAAGGGGGAGGGCCAGCTGCCAGGTGGTGGTGGCACGGTGGCATGAGACATGGTGTCTATGCTCTGGATATGGCATCCTGCTAGATGCTACATGCAAAAGGAAAGTCGGCCCGCCTGCAGGGGGGACGGGAGGGGGGGGCGAAGGGGAGGCTGAGTGCGCCCTGCCATGGCGCACGCTGCCGGTGTTCGGCAGTTCGCTTGGCCTCCCTCCGGAACCAGGCCTCCCTCCGGTGGGCAGCTATACGGGCGAGCTGCTCGGCTGCGAAGCGAAGGGGAAGAGGTGGGAGCGGGCGGAGACCCCAGAAAGTCTTGAACTTCTAGCTCAGAGCTCAGGTCCCCAGGAAGAAGGGGAGGAGAGGACTCAGAAGCAGGAGTAGGAGCAGGATCGGGTGCTGGCGTCGGATCCCCCTCGCACGGCGCTCGACTGGACTGGAACCTGCGCATTTCTGGATCTACCCGTTGTCTCTGAGGTTCCTGGCAAGCGTATTCAGGCGCAACTGCGACGTCTTCTCCTACCTCCTTGCCATATAAATTCAAGAGATCCTCGACCAGGGATGCGTCGGTGTCCTCCGCATTCGCGTCACAATCTGCAGGTGGCGCAAACTGGGACTGGATCGTGTCAGCGATGACAGCGGCAATATGATTGCACATGTTTGTCGGGTAGGCTCTCTTCCGTCTCGTACAAAACCTTATTTTATCATTTTTTCTCTTTTTGTGAAGGATGGGATCCTCTGGAGTGGTTGCAGCGGCCGCGGGCTCCTGAACTAGGCAGGTAGGGCGCTGCTGTGGGCATGCGGGACCCCAGGAGCCGACTGGGGGCCTTGCCGAAGGTCTCTGGGCTACAGTCGTTATGAGTGCATTGGTCGAAGTTGGCGGTGTAGCTGGATATGTCCACGCTGATCATTATCACTTCATTTTGTGCAATCGTGTGGTGTCCATCCATCCATGCCTGGATGTCATCGTGTCGTCGCTGTCCAGATAGGGCCTCCTGTGTAGATTCATAACATGCTCCAGGAGTGAGTAGTACCTCCCTAGCTTCTTTGTCCGTAAAATGCGCGAGGCTACTATCATGGCGGCGGGGTAGAGGCCGTCAGGCGCTATGTCCACTCTCGCTGGGTAGCCGCTCCTCCAGCGCCCCAGTCCTGCTCTTTTTTGTCGTGTGAGGTCATTGACCTCCTGCTGCTTGAACTCCTCAGCTCTGCCGGCGCTGAGCGCCGCGCCGTTCAACAAAAAAAAAACGAGACAACCGCGTGGGGCGTCGAAAGCAAGATGATGGCGTAGCACCCGCCTGATGGAGAAGGATGTGGAGCATAACATGCATAGGGGCCCCTCCCCCATGAATCTTGACGCCATGCCCGCAAAGCTGCAGTGCGCGCGGCGGCGCCGCCGTGGCCCCTTTGAAGTGGTAGCTTGGCAAGTACACCCCATGCACAGTAGCTCAGTAGTCGTAGCTGGAGTAGGGGGGAGGGGATGAGTCGGATCTGCAATTGGCACGGGCACCCCTGCTGTCCGTACCGTCTCGAAAAAAATTGCCTGAGACTTTCCGCGCCAGGGCAGCTCTTGCCTGGGCTGTTGCCTCTGCTCTCGTGGCGGCGTTCATCATGCGTCTCCATGCTGAAGTATAGTACAAACTGCGCTGTTCCCGCCTGGTACCGTCGTCCTTCGGACTAGGTGTGTCTCGCATCCTATCATGCACAAGGCGTATCCAGTCCATGTCATCTGACACACGATGCAACCATGATGGCCCATTGCGCTCGTGCGTCGTATGGTACACATGTGCCACAAGACCGCGTAGTGCGTGAGTACCGAAATTCATTATACTCCCAAGTAGCCGGATCCTGTGCATCCTCAGAGCCGTGGTAAGCACGGCTCTCTGTGCGCGCGCAAGTTCGTACATGTCGCATCTCGTATGTTCCGCACTGCGCCGAAGGCGCAAGACCTGTCGATACTTGTTGGTCTACGCATGCCGTGGGTGCGCGTGCTGCGCTGCTGATAGCTGTGGCCAAGTGCCTGCTTTGAAAAGCAACCCTGAGAACAGTAGTGCGTCTGTGAGAAGGCAAGGTGGGTCGATGTGAAATTGACCCTCGCGGGTGTAGTCGTATCAGGTATGTAGCCACCTCGGCGCCGCTGCACAGAGAGCCTGCCATGCAAACAAGAGCGCATGCAAGCTTGCCTGGTTGACTCTGCGCGGTAGCTTCCGTCGGGGCCTGAGGAAGAGGGATCTCTCCTCTTGCAGCTTCAGCGTGCCATAACTTATCCAGTTGTGCCGTGGTCTTTTGCCTGTTGGCGTAGTGCGTATCGGGGGTGCTGTTTCCGCCAACCTTCTGACGTGGTCGTCGCAATCCCTAGAATGGTCGGCCGCGTGTGCGCCAGCGTCGGGCTGGCGGAACTGCGAGAGCAGGTAGTTGAATAGCTGCGATGCCACAGAAATCATCATGCAGCGCCGCGCCGCGTTGGAAGCTTGACGCTGCAATACGGCAACCAGGTGCATATTCCCATTCTGCATTGACCCCGAGTGAGCATCCCTCTCCACCCGTCTGTAGAGCTGCGGCGTGTAGTACCAGGTAACCTCCCACATGTGCGACCCCTGTTGCATGCCTGTTTGTCTCGACCGTGCCCGCGAGCGTGTGGATTAGCCGCTGACAGAGCAGACAGATGCGCCATGCGACCAGCGATGCTGAGGCCTGCTAGCCTTGGGGACTGCTGGGGTCCTTGCAGGGCTCGAGGGTCCATGGTAAGCACGTTGGCTATGGCCACCCAGCATAAGATGGCGTGGCTCTTATGTTTCCTATCGGGGGCCTTGTTGGGCCTAGGAACGATCCGTTGGAAGTCCGAGTGGGGCTCTTTGGCGATGGGCATGGCATGGTCGGCCGTCGGAGGTAGTGAGCAACTTGCCCCGGGTGAGACGCAACTCGGCCGAAGCCTCGGCATGGCCCCCCAATGGGGTTCATGTTCTACCGGCGTGCGCCACTGCGGCTCGAAAGAGGTGGGAAGCACTGACATGGCAAACAACCTGGCAATTGTGTCAACAGATTCGATCCATGGATTCGCAACATGACCATGTTCATGCTGGGAGGCAGGCGTATTTGCACGTGCACGTACACAGCGTGTCAGACTGTCGAGTAGTAGCTTGGAAGTACTGAGCGCTCCTCTAACAGATCGTCCCTGATATGCTCTGTGAACGTCCGTGTTATCTATGAGCAAGTAGAGAGGTAGAGAGCTGAACTGCGACTGCGTGACCCATGCAATGGTCCAGATGGCGTCTTCCAACTCTGCCCCCCGCGGAGTGAGTGAATCGTTTGCTCCCCATTCGGGGGGCGGACCTGCCAAGCAGCCGAGCAAAATGACACCTAATACTGAGACAGCCATGATGCACGGCGCCCAAGCTGGCCCGCACGCTTGTCCGTTGTGTCGGTACCCTCCTACGGTCGCATCAGCGTAGATTTCCAGTCGGGCAGACCTCAAGTTTGGATCGCACCGGATGAGTCCTGGAAGGGCCTGGGCAGAAGAAGGGCGCCAGTAAGGGGCACGCGGAAGAAGGCCCCTTGCCGTCTGAACAGGCCACCTGCGCTCCATGAGCTCTTGAGTGGGTCGGAGATCAGGGATTGGCGACCTCTGGGCTCCTCTGGTGGTCCCCTTAGGAGCCTGCATAGTTAACTTAATGTTTGAATCAAGTAATCCATGCTCATGTGGTGAGCGGTCCTCCGTTGTGTTAGCTGGTGTCGGATGCTGTGCACTGGCTGGCTGCTGAGAGGGGGCTGAAAGGGGGGCCTGAGCGAGCCTGCGAGAATATTCTGCTGAGCGCCAAACGCGCTTAGCTGATGTTAATACTGCGTGGGCGGACTGGCTGCCGCGCGAAAAACTGCCTGCTGGCCTGCTGGGGCTGCTAGCTCCGCTCAACGCTGCCATGTAAGACTCGTCTTCTCCCGCCGCCATCTCGCGCGGTTCATCGGGTCGCATGTGCTTGGGATCCCTGGCCATCTCTTCATTGATCTTGACCTGCTTGGGTGGTGCCTGACCCGTGGAGTGGTGCCTGGGCGAAGTGGATCTGGGTCTTTCTGCCTCGGCTCCTTGGGCGAACGCACCTTCAAGCCGTCGGCGTCCTTCTGTGCGTGCGTCGGGAGTAGCTGACCTGGACTTGTCCTTATCCTTTCTTGGCGTGGGGGTAGGCGATGTCATTGATGCATGTGCTTGTAGTGCCTGAATTTGTCGCTGAAGTTCTTCTCTGGCATTAACTCTGTCGACGCTGACGTCTGCGAGCTGCTTCTGCATGGTATTCATGGCCGTCTTGAACTCTATGAGTCGTGCCATGAGGGCCTGCTGCGAATGCTGCGTACTCGCTAACAACCCTGGCGTGGAGAAATCCGCTTTCGAATCCGCTGAGCCCGAGCACGGTGTAGCTCCAGGCGGAATTCGCGTGGTTGGCGTACTTGGTGGTCGTGCGCCCGCTGGTGTGCTCGGCGAGCGCGTGGTAGCTGGCCACTGCGCACGCGACCGAGAGGCTCCTCCTGCTGGCGCGAGAGGGCCTCCGTCGGAATATTCCTCTTCATCGTCGTCCATGTAGTCTGCTGCGCGTGGCTTACGAGTGTGCGACATGTGTGTGCGCGCCTCTGCCTGCTTGCGCTCGTTGTCCTGCTTCTCCTTGTCCTCTAGGTCCTTGACATGTTCGAGAAGGTCTTCAGCGTGTGCCGCTTGTTCGTGTAATGCATGTACTTGTGCGACACAGGAGTCAAGCTATATCTACGCCTCCACCTGCTTCTGTGTGGCCTCCGTCAGCCTGCGCTTTGCTCGGTTGGCGAAGTTGAACTGCTTGGCCGTGCGGGCAGAGGCCGCGCGAGAGTACATGAGCTGGTGCAATACCACGGCGCACTCATGTCGTAAGCCTTGCACTTGTGATGCGTCCATCTTGAGCTCCTGCGAACATGTGATCTGACGCTCTAGACCCTCCAACGTAGAGCCCAGGGCCTTTCTGTACTCACCAATCTCCTGAGGGTTCTCAGGCGGCTCCTGCCAGTGCCTGTGGGCGCGGGCCTCCTCTGGCGAGCAAGGCGTGAGATTCATGGTCTCGTCCTCCTCCGTGTTGTTGCTGTACGCAGGGCGTCGCGAGCTGAAGCGCCTCCACGGGGGGGGGATGTAGGTTGGTCAGCAGCTGGCTTGGCTGCTAGCTGATTCGGATGGCACTTCTCACACTTTGCGATATCCCACTTGTTGTGATGGTTGCATGCCAGGCACTCCCACAAGTACCGGTGCTGTCCGTGTAGATGCCCTTGCCATTGCGATCTTCGTCTTGATGGTTGTCTCGAGCGCGCAGATGAATGGCTGCGCTGTGTCCTCCACGTCATACTGCTATGATGTTGCTCGTGTAGATCTGACGCCGTGGCGATCCTCAGCAGGGTCCTGGCCCTGCCTCGGTCAGCTCTGGCTCGACGGTGCCAGGCTGGTTCACCTCCTGCTTCACGGCTGGCCCTCCTGCCGCGCGCCGTGGCTGCTGGGGCGCGCTGGGGGGGCGGGCGCGTGTCGCAGCAGTCCCGCGCGAGTGGCTTCGCCGTGCCTGGCACGGCTCCCACAAACCACTCGGGCCGGGACGGCGGCTATGGGAGGGCCAGGGGCCAGGAGGGAGGAGGGAGGGGGGAGGAGGGAGGAGGCTGGAGGAGAGGGGAGGGAGGAGAGATGAGGAGAAAGGAGGAAGGGAGGCGGGAGGAGGAAGAAGCACTGAAGGAGGCGAGGCGCCAGCAGACAATCCAACAGGACGGCCCTGTGCAGAGCACGGGTAAATGGGACGGGGCCCAGGGGAGCATTTCGGTTCCGCGTTAGAACCGTGATCCTATGAGACTTGAGAAAAGGAAGAGACGCGGACGTGGACGAGGCCGAGAGATGCATGTACGCTTCAGCATACGCTCTTTGAGAGGCTGGTGCGATGCGTGCGGAAGGCGGAGGAGGAAGATGGCCTCCTTCCAGGGGCCATGTCCAGGTCAACGATAAGGGCCTTTCTGGAGAAGCCGGCCCTAACGGGGGCGCACAACTCTTGTACAAGACTCCGCTCAGAGGTTGTTGCCAGGCTGCTGAAACTTCTCGCTTGGATGCTCCTTCCCACCCAGTTGGCCATTGAGATCCAGCGGGCCAAACGCCCGCTACGAAACAAGGGGGAGGAGGATGACGAGGACGAGGAGGAGAGGACAAGGATAACGAACAACAAACTGCAAACACGTAATTTCTGTGAAGATCCGCGCGGATTTCTTGGGTCGGCGCCGGCGCCCTCATCCCTGGAGCGCCAGGGGGCTGCGCCAGAGGCGCCGCCAGGGAGGCCGACCGAAGATCCTGGAAACCCGAGCGGACATCAGAGAACTTATGTTTATGGCGTTTTTGGTCCCTCGAATCGTCGGACTCAGTGTCCTCTGGCACCTCTGCCTCGACTGGCTCCTCCGCCTCCGCCTCCTCCTCCTCCTCCTTCTACTCCCCCTCCACCTTCTCCTCCTCCTCCTCCTCCTCCTCCTCCTCCTCCTCCTCCTCCTCCTCCTCCGCATCCTCGTCCTCCGTCTCCTCCGTCTCCTCCGCCTCCTCCTCCTCCTCCTGCTCCTCCTCCTCCTGCTACTCCTCCCCCCCCTCCTCCATCTCGTCCTCCTCCTCCTCCTCCTCCTCCTCCTCCTCCTCCTCCTCCTCCTCCTGCTCCTCCTGCTCCTCCTGCTCCTCCTTCTCCCCTTCCTCTTCCTCTGCAGCAGCGCCGTGCCCGAGTTTGTGGTTAACTATGGCTGATACCGTGGCCGTGGCCATGGCCCTTACCAGCTGCCTCACCGTGGCCGCAACTTAATCTTACGTCACCGTGGTTGTGACCGCCCGCCTGGGCACTGGCGTGGCCGTGGCCGTCCTTCTTCGGCTCAGCTTTTGGGATAGCCCTACAAAGGCTCCTAACGTAGTCCTTGAACAACTCTAGCCCTGAAGCATTCAGACACGAAGGGTATGCGTTGATGGCTTCGGCCGCAGCCCTTGTAACATGTAAGGTCGCTTCATCCACGGCTGCCAACTGTAAGAGAGGGACGATGCTTGAACACATGGCCCCGAATTGCACTGCTTCAGCGTCGTTTAACCCAAACTGGCTTGAACCAAAACAGCACCAGAAATTGCATTCCACATTCGCACTATGCGCGACACGCTGCGATGCCTTTTCGCCTCTCTGGCCAAAATACGTCCTTCTCGAAGACTTCGGCAAACCTACACAAATTCCTCCCACCATCCTCATCCGATGTATCCCCACCTCTACCTTCTTCTCCACTTCCCTTTGTGATGCAACCTCCCATTCTACTCCTCCCCCATCCACCTCCTCCTCCTCCTTCTCCTCCTCCTCCTCACTGTCCTGCTTCACATTGCTATTCGGAGCGTCCAAGAGGGGGGCGTCCCAGGGGGGGGGGGGCAGGGGACGGATTGAAACAAGAAGAGGTGCCACGACACGTAGGGAGAGATCAAAACCTCCTTCCATCTCCAATGCACTTCCTTTTTTGACGCGGGCCATACGAGCATCGAGGGTTGTTGCGTTCTTCCAGTGGCAACAAACGAAGTACTCCGACCAGGCGAAGTGCGAACACACATTAGGGCTGCTGTCAGTGCGGGCACAAGAGGGGCCAGATGAAGTGGGAAAATGATAAGTGCCCTGGGGGCTCTACTCTGCACGTCCTCCACGTCCCACCTTTCACTCCCTTCCCTCCCCGCCGGCTCCTGCCTCTATAGGCCCCCTCCTCCTCCTCCGCCTCTGATCTCGAGGTTGGGCAGCAACCTCTCCATTTCTAGAGGGCAGAAAATCCATCCCGATGTTAACTACCCTGACACGCGAAGCCGTTTAGTAAACGCACCCAAAGAAAGAATCAACCAGGGCAGGGCTGTTTAGTGAACGCCCAAGGGGGTTTAGTAAACGCTAATTGTCTGGTCCGGGTGTGTTTTCCTCCCTTGGTTTTCTTCGGACGTGGGCCAGAGCCGAGCGCGAACTCCCAGGCAGAGCTGCACGGCGACGAGGGGCACCGACAAGGGCCCGAAAAACACCGAGACGCCACGAGGGCCCGAGTGGGCACGAGCGGCGCCGAGGCACCGACCGAGAAGCACCGAGGCCCGAAGACAACGCGGAGACGCAGCATCCCCTCCAGCACACCTCGGGGGCGTCCAAGAGCAAAGGGGCCCCAGAATATACAAACAAATACACACAAATCAAAAAAATCCCAATGTTTTCCCATATTTTTGAGGTTTTCGTCTTCCCCCCCCCACTTCCCATCGTTTCCCATATTTCCTGGGGACTCGACGATTCATTGTGTCTGTGTGTTTCCCTGCAGAAGGAGGGGGGTGTCCAAGAGGGGGGGGCGCAAATCCTGGCCGGTGGCATGTGCGCGCCCCAGAAGGGGGAGCCGGGGACGTGTTGAGGTAAGAAGAGGCGCCATGGCACCTGAGGAGACCCCATGGCCCCCGCCATGAGATCTCCCCCTGCCGCCCCCGAGCAACACCCCTTCGTGACAAACGGCCCTGGACCACGCCCAGCGGGCGTAGGCCCGAACCACGGCCGCAGCGCCCTCTCGAGGATCAAGAGGGGGGCAGCTCGCCCATTGACCTGGCAAAATGGGGGTCTCGCCATCGCTCGGGCGTCCACTCCCCGTGCATGTTTCGGCTTCGTGCGTGTATTTATTCACGAGATGAACCTAGCTGTTCCTCGATGGTCCTCGCCGAGAATGAGGAGCACTCGTCTGACCGATGCCGAGAGGGCTTCTGCTTCACCCTCCAGCTATCCCTGCGTGCGCCCTGTGCGTCGTCATCCGAGGGCGTCCTCCGAGAGCCGCGGACGCGGTCTGCAGTTCCACCGCCCAGGTGGCGCCGTCGCCTGCTGGGACACCCTCCTTCGCTACCAGGGGCTCCGCCTCCTCGCCCTCCTGTTCTTCCGTCGTCTCGTTCTGCTTCCCTGGCATCGCGCCCACGATCTCATCGTAGCAGGAGAGCCACCGGGGGGGAGGGGTGCGAGGGGATGAGGATCGAGAAGTCGAGGTTCGAGGAGCCAGGCCTTCTCGTCCAGGAACCTCCAGGGAAGAGAGAGACGAAGGAGAACGATGAGAGAGAAACTCAGCCCCATCTAGCCGTCTGAGGGTAATCTGGTTCGTGTGGTTCGGACTGGGGCCGTGGAAACTTTGTCTTGCCCCCTGGCGTTTCGCCAAAGAGGCAATCCTGCTGATGCATGCAATGCTGAAGGCTTGGAGTTCTGATTCCGCCAGGAGCAAAGGGACAAGGAGGAGAGGACGAGGAGGTGGAATAGCGAGAGTAAGGTCGAGTCGAGCGGGATCGTGCCCTGCTTCGTAGAGCTGGCTCCCGTCCGAGGAGGAGGAGGTCGGAGGACGAAAGCGGCGTGGGGGATAGGACAGGGCGGGCGGGCGCATCAGCCGCCCAGCGTCTCCAGGCGCCAGAGGCAGCCATGCCGAGGAGAGCACCCAGCGGCGGGGCCAAAATCAAGCGCATGCAGCAGCAGCCCCTTGCCAAGGCCCCCCCCTTCCTCGCCCGACCCGAGTGCCCTCCGTCGCCTCGGGACGATGACGACCCGGGACCCCCCGGCACGCTCTCGGCGAGGCGCATCTGCTGGAAAGCATCCCGAGGCTGGAAGTCGAACAAGAACCGACGGCAACGTTCGGCAACCTCGAATCTCGAAACCCACCCCTCCTCGTCCCCAAACTTTCTCAAACCTCGCACAAGCCCTACTACTTCCGCCGGAAGCCACGCAGACACGTCCGGATGAACCACCCGAGAATCTCCGAACGCCCCCTTCCCCTCTCTTCCTTGCCCTCCAAGTCGCCCTCCTCCTCCTCCTCCTCCTCCTCCTCCTCCTCCTCCTCCTCCTTTGGTCGCCATCTTGGCTCAAGTCGGGTCTGCCTCAGGGCCGCCCCCTGAGCCCGGCGCTTGCCGCCTCCCTCCCTCCCCCTCCGCGCCCCCGCCTCCCCACCGTGCGGCACCCGCGGCGGCGCCAATTCCGCCGACGCCGCGCCCGCCCGCAGCGCGGTGGCCACAGGGCGCACCGCCAGCTGGCGCGGGTGCCCGCCATGATGCTCGCCCCCGACCTCTTCGCTCCCCGGGGGTCGCGGCGCCTGGGGCTGCGCGGCGGCGCGCTGGGCCTCGGCCCGCAGCCGCTGCGGGCCTCGCGGCCTCCCGCCCTGCTCGCAAGCGCGACGCTGAAACCGGCAGCCCTGGCGAGACGGCGGTGGCGCCGCGGCTGGGGCCCGCGCGCTCCCACTAGCCGGCCCCGGGCTCCAGGATGCGCCCCTCGCCAGGGCCACGGCACCGGGGCCACGTCGGCGGCCCGACGGCTTGGCGCGGGACCCCAGCGCGGAGCCGCAGCGGACCTGGCCGCGAGGACCGCTGGCGGCCGCGCGCTCGCGGCCGTCCCCGCGGGTGTTTGCCGTACGCCCCGGCTATCCCTCGTTGTCGGGCTCGCCGAGCTCCTGCTGGTCCTCGACTGCTGCGAGGCCACGGCTGGGAAGCCCTGGGGTGGACAGGTCTACCCCAGGCCCCCCGCTGACCTGGCCCGTCGGGCCCAACACGCAGCGGGAGTCCAAAAAACCTCCTCCTCCTCCGCCTCCTCCTTGTCCTGCTCCTCCTCCTCCTCCTCCTCCTCCTCTTCCTCCTCCTCCTCCTCCTCCACCTCCTCCTCCTCGTCCTCGTCCTCGTCCTTCTCCTGCTCCTCCTCCTGCTCCGCCTTCTCCTCCTACTTTTCCTGCTCCTGCTGCTCCTCGCTCCCACATATTCCTCCTACTCCTCCTCCTCCTCCTCCTCCTCGCCCTCCTCCTCCTCGAGGGGCCACTTGCTCACGACCGCCAACACGCATGATGTTCTTCCCCGCGGAGCCCCCCCACCACCTCTCTTCTTCTCCTCTTCTTCTCCTCCCCTAATGATCCCCCTCTCCTCCTCAAGCCGCCTCCTCTCCTCGTCCACCACCTCCCTCCCACTCCCCAGTCCTCCTCACTGGTCGCTCCTCCCCATTTCCTCCCTCCTCCTCCCCCCTCCATGCCCCTCCTCCTCATCATCCTTCTCCCTCCCTCCAACTTCCCCCTCGAGAGGCCACTGCGCCATGATCTTGTACGGGTGGTACGCCGCCCGCCCCGTAGAACACGGTGCTGGGGCCTCGCCGCAGTTGCCGTCCGTAACCAACTCGAAGTCGTCCACACCCGAGACCCCGACGAGGTCCATACACCTCGCGGATGGCCTCATCTCTCCTTCCTCCTCTTCCGCCTCCTTCCCACCCTCCTTCTCCTCGTCCGTCCTCCTAATCGTGTTGCCCCTCGTTCATGCTCCTCGCTACTCTCTACGATTACTCTATCTGAAGACTACTCTCGTCTATCCCTGGAAGATGGCCAGGGATTAGCGCGCCCCTGCCGCTTTTTTGCTTTTGTAGAAAATACCTAGGTAGATGTGTGTTCTTTTCTATATGAACCAATCGGAGCGATTTCGGTGTCTCAAACAGTGCACTGCCGATGCAGCGGTGGCCTCATCTTAGGATCGGCACTTTGCCCCTGGCGTTCAGAATAGCGCTCTCGCCCCAGCGCAGGCCAATCCTGTCATTCGTCAGGTAATTGGCGTTCCCCTACGATCGAGCGTCTTCTTTGCTGTCATCGCCTAACTCAAAAAATGCCTGAAAAGGGATATTGTATATGGATGTCCTTTGACGATGTCATGCAGCATGGCGATTGTGTCGGTTAGTAGACGTAAGGATGCATGAAATATTCGCGCGCGACTGATGGTGAGAGCACCCCTTGCCTGCCCAGGCGCGGACGCGCCCAACCTTCACAGATTACTGGAACCTAAGTTCGCGTGTTTGCGCGCATGCGCTCGTACATGAATTGCGCAGCGGGAGCGGTAGTAACAACAAATTAGTTACTCTAGTCCTCTCCCCTCCTTCGCCTTCTTTTTTCCCTATCCATCCTGTGGTGTCGGGTCCCCGTTTTGAACAAAAAACGCATCCCATCTGTTCATCTCCTCTCCTACTCCTCCCGCTCCTCCCTCCCCCCACCCTTGCTTCTGCCCTCCGCATGTCAACCAAATCGGCATTCCCGTTACCCCCATCATGTTGGCACACCCCTCGCACGTTCCGTGGCCCCATAGGGAGCTCCACCGAAGGCCCCAATGGCATGGTTCGCATGACGCCCCACTCCACTGCGGCACACTCCGCATACGTTTCGTGGCCCACAGGAGCTCCACCGAAGGCCCCAATGGCATGGTTCCAATACCGCCCCACATACTGAGCAACAACAATTATCCTGCGACGTACCCAGCCATTTTCTACACAAGTGGCAATTGCATTCAGGACCACTGAATACCGAAGGACATTTCGGCGCCATTGTATAGTGGTGATCTGCGTAGAACGTACCTCCGCTGAGCCTCCCAGAAGCCCATGCGCGCCAGGTGCGCCAAGCGCGCCAGGCGCGCCAGGTGCGCCAGGTGCGCCAGGTGCTCCAAGTGCGCCAGGTGCGCCAGGTGCGCCAGGTGCGCCAGGCGCGCCAGGCGCGCCAGGTGCGCCAGATGCGCCAAGCGCGCCAAGCGCGCCAGGTGCGCCCAGCGCGCCAGGTGTGCCAGGTGCGCCAGCTGCGCCACGTACGCCAGGTGCGCCAGGCGCGCCCGGCGCGCCAGGTGCGCCAGGTGCGCCAGTGGCGCCAGGCGCGCTAGGTGCGCCTGGTGCGCCTGGTGCGCCCAGCGCGCCAGGCGCGCCAGGTTCGCCAGGTGCGCCAGGTGCTCCAAGTGCGCCAGGTGCGCCAGGTGCGCCAGGTGCGCCAGGCGCGCCAGGCGCGCCAGGTGCGCCAGATGCGCCAAGCGCGCCAAGCGCGCCAGGTGCGCCCAGCGCGCCAGGTGTGCCAGGTGCACTAGGTGCGCCCAGCGCGCCACCAGGTGCGCGCCAGGTGCTCCCAGCGCGCCCGGTGCGCCAGGTGCGCCCAGAGCGTCAGGTGCGCGCCAGGTGCGCGCCAGGTGCGCGCCAGGCGCGCGCCAGGTGCGCCAATTGCGCCAGGTGTGTGCCACGTGTGCGCCAGGTGCGCGCCAGGTGTGGCAGGTGCGCCAGTTGCGCCAGGTGTGCCAGGCGCGCCAGTTGCGCCAGGCGCGCCATGTGGGCCAGGTGCGCCATGTGCGCCAGGTGCGACAAGTGCGCCAGGTGCGCCCAGCGCGCCAGGTGCGCCGGGTGCGCCAGGTGCGTCAGGTCTGCCAGGTGTGCGCCAGGTGCGCGCCAGGTGCGCCAGGTGCGCCAGTTGCGCCAGTTGCGCCAGGCGCGCCAGGTGCGGCAGGTGCGGCAGGCGCGGCAGGTGCGTCAGGTGCGCCCAGCGCGCCAGGTGCGCCAGGTGCGCGCCAGGTGCGCCCAGCGCGTCAGGTGCGTCAGGTTCGCCCAGCGCGCCAGGTGCGCGCCAGGTGCGCGCCAGGTGCGCCAGGTGCGCCAGGTGCGACATGTGCGCCAGGTGCGGCGTCAGGTGCGCCAGGTGCGCGCCAGGTGCGCCCAGCGCGTCAGATGCGTCAGGTGCGCCCAGCGCGCCAGGTGCGCGCCGGGTGTGCCAGGTGCGCGCCAGGTGTGCCAAGGGGACAGGGAGGCCCCAAAATGGTCTGCGTAGGACGTACCTCCGCTGGGCCTCCCAGGAACCCACGAAAGCGGCGACAGTTGCGCAGATCGCAGCCCCGCAGGGGACAGGGAGGCCTCAAAATGGTTTGCGTAGGGCGTGCCTCCGCTGGGCCACCCAGGAACCCACGAAAGTGGCGACAGTTGCGCAGATCGCAGCCCCGCAGGGGACAGGGAGGCCTCAAAGTGGTCTGCGTAGGACGTACCTCCGCTGGGCCTCCCAGGGACCCACGAAAGTGGCGACAGTTGCGCAGATCGCAGCCCCGCAGGGGACAGGGAGGCCTCAAAGTGGTCTGCGTAGGACGCACCTCCGCTGGGCCTCCCAGGAACCTACGAAAGTGGCGACAGCTGCGCAGATCGCAGCCCCGCAGGGCACCGCGAACACAAGAGAGAGGAAGGAGGAGAGGGTGGGAGATGGATACCATAGTGCTCTATTCAAAACGAATACCCAACACAAGGAGGGTTGGGAAATAGAGAGAGGGGGGGTTTAGGAGGAGGAGGAGGAGGCCCTAGGGGGGGTGGAGGGGCGCAGGGGCGACCGCCCCTGGCGGGGGGGATGGCTGCGTTGAAGCCTGCGGCGACAGCGACAGGAGACCCATTGGGGCCTCTCCGCAGGAGGCTTTTGAAAGGACGTAGGTCTGCGGGGTCACAGGTGAGAGGCAAGGGGGAGGGGGCGGAGAAGAGATGAGAGAATAAGGGGAGGCGATGCTGTGGGCCGGAGGGCAGGGCAGGGCGGGCGGGAAGGAGGCGCAGGAGGAGGAGGAACGGTGCAAGGACAAGGAGGCTCGGCTCGGCTCTGCGCTGGGGGCTGCATACAGTCTGACTCGTGCCCCTCCCATGACGCTCTCCCTTCTAATCCTTCCCCCGTCTCCGCTCGCATGTTTTGTCCACTTCCTCGTCATCCCACCTCGGCCGTCATCCGTTCTGGCTCCTGCACCTTCCCTTCCAGAGGCCGTATGCAGGTTTGGTTATGCAGTCTTTTTCTTTCACTGGAAAGCACCTGGCTCGCAGGAGGACGTTCCGTCTGTGCCATTGCCTGATCGCGTGAACATCTGGGGCAACGACGAGGCTGACAGGACCGCCAAGCAAGGAACGCAGCTGCACCCTTCTCTTCTTCAGGAGAGGAAGCACATCGAGTAGATGTATTCTTTTTCTGCGGCCCAAAACAACTCGGGGCTGGCGGCGCAATCAATGGGATGGGGCGGTGGCCTCGCACGGACTTGGATGGAGTCGAGCGCCCCCATGGCCCCCCCCCGTTCAGCGCGACGCGAGGCCCCCGCACCATTGGAATCGTGTTAGTGAATTTGGGCAGTCCAGCGAGTGCGTGAACAGCTCTCATTCACAACACTACCCTGCTCCAGGGCACTGCTCTAACAAGCTGAAAATTGTCCCGAGGACGCTTTGCGACCCGGCTACACATGCATTGTAACCGATTGCATCGACGGTAACTTCGCGTGTATTTGTCAGCTATGCTAATATTGCACTTCTTGGGGCAGCTCGCAGGCTTGCTCCAGACTGGCGCGTTGGCTACGTACAGCGATACGAAGTCTTGGTCTTCGAAGAACTCACGCCGCCAAGAAGTTCGGTCCAATCTTTGGCTCAGGGCTCAAAGCCCAAGCAAGAGCTGAGGCCCAAGCAAGCATGCCGCCCCAGCGATGGAACCCAGAATGGAAGGATAGGAGATCAGATGTGTACTCTCAGTCTGAAACGCAGCGCCATCGAGACAGGCGCAAAATGGCAGAATCGATATTTGATGACTTGGAGCGCCTGAACCAGAAGGTATCGCACCAAGAGAGTCTGTTGGAAGAGAGTTTCAATGCGTTGGTGGACAAAATGCAATGTGTGTCAAATCAGTACACCGACATTCCACAAGCAGTGGTCCATTCTCAGTGGGTGATGCAAGATGGTGCCACGACGCAGTATATGTTATTCAATACTCTGTTCCAGTTTCAGGTGCGATTGGAATATGCGTTCGATAAGTTTGCGAAGGATTCATGGCACATGCAGCAGCGACGCGAAGTGCCGCAGTCAATGGCGCAGCGTGGGAATTCTGATGGATGTGATTAGAATTTCAACTCGCAAGATGTTGTGGGTCGCATTGAAAGGTTAGAACGCCTTTTCGTTTGCAAGGAACCTCCAATCTCTCCAACTGTTGATGAAGTGTTCAGCGAATTGCTGTCGGGATCGGAGGGCGTTGCGCGGCGCTCAAGCGTATCAGTTCACAGCGAGGCTCGCCCAGAGCCCCTGGACAAAAATGAAGCGCAAATTTTACAGAGCAGGGATTGTCACCAGACGCTGACGAAATCGACATAGGCCCTTCAAAATGGGTTGGCGCATGGACGCGTCTATCTAGCACGGCGGTGCGTCACGTCCGGATCAGTTCCACAATGGTAGGAAATGCGACAGAACTTTCAGACATCATAAGTGCTCGGAGGAGACTTTCGCCAGAGGAGGTCCATGAACATGGTTTCGACAATGCAGCGATTGGTAAATACAGGAGGTTGTTGCAAGCTTGTCCCCGTGAGGCGGGACCGATGACACATCCTGCGACTGCTCATCGTGCAGCCTCTCACTCACAACTGCCGCTTCTCGTTCAACCCTGCACACACCTTGAAGCAGACGGTGCAACTCATACAGCTGGGCCACCGTCTGAATGTGATCCTCGATGCGTTCGAGGTGCTTCTCGATAATCTCGCCGTCGGAGGCTCCAGCGTCGGCCTCGACATACTGCTCGAAGAAGTCACCGAACCCGAAGAGGAAGGAAGCGGGCGCTCGTGCCTCGATCGGCTGCTCTCGACCGTCGACACCTGCAAGGCCCAAAGCCTCGCCAGCAGGGAGGAGCGAAGGACGACGGCCATCAGCGTCTGCAACCTGCATCGCACCGACCTCCGCGGACTCCATCTTCTCGACGCCGTCGGGGATCTCGTCGCAGTCCTCGGCGCGGGCATCGAGCTGCACGTTCAACACATCTTCGAACACAGGGGTGTGAAGGCCATCATCGGCATCTGGAGAAAGAACAAGTACAAGTACATCCAGCGCACAACAAACGCCGTCGCGATCGCCGCCAGGAAACTGAGCAGGAAGGAGAGCACCAGCGCCAGCCACCTGCGTCTCGACGGCCTCCACGGACTCCATCGTATCCGTGCAAGGAGGGTGTGCAGGAAGAGTGGCACCTTCGCCGTCCGCCTGCATCGCGCCCTCCTTGGATTCCATCATCTTCTCCTCGCCGCTGGGCAACTCAGCCACGTCGTCGGGCTCCTGCTCGACCTGCACCTGCGACGCCGCCTCGAAGCCGAAGCCGTGGTGCTGCACGCCCAGCTCCGTCAGCAGCGTGTGCGCCATCGGTCTGAAGTGGAGCTCGTGGCGGAACGACTCGACGACGTCGACCCTTACACCAGCAGGCGTTGCCGCGGGATGGGTCATCCCAGGCGGCGCTGCATGCTTGGACCAATTCGCGAACTCCAAGCACGCCACCTCGTCGTCCAGCGGCAGTCCGACCATCTTCGCAGCGAAGATGGCCTCGCCGAAGGTGGCGAAGTGGGCGCCTAACCGATCCTCCAAGGACCAGTGTGCGAGGATGCCCTGCCTGAAGCCCTTGCACCGTGTCGCCACCGCGGCAGCCCGGCTCTGCCCCAAGTTCTGCCTCGCGCGCCTGCGTTGCCGCCGGGTGAGCGTCCGCGCGCTGGCCGCCGCCCATTCCCGGCCCGCCACGTGGCCGCTGGCGCGCCCGCGCGCCGCGGGCGCGCTCGCGAGGGCCTCCCGTCGCCTCGCTCGCTTGAGCCAAAGTGGCTACGGGGCTTGTCCGAGTGCCTGGACGTAGGTAACAAAAACGACACGAGCAGAGTTCGATAAGTAATCTGGAGGATTGCACAAATCAAGTTTCTGGAGGCACGTTTGCAATACGCTCCACAGTGGTACCGGCGACCCGCTAAGCAAATCAAGCTGTTCTCAACCATCCTGTGGAATTGGGTCCTCGTTTTGAAAACACGGTCCCCGCGTTCCTCCTTCCTCACCCTCCCTCCTCCCCTCCTCTCATCATCATCATCATCATCATCATCATCATCATCATCATCATCATCATCATCATCATCATCATCATCATCATCATCATCATCATCATCATCATCATCATCGTCATCATCGTCGTCATCATCATCATCACCAACATCATCCCACGTTTCGTTGCCCCAAAGGGAGCTCCACCGAAGGTCCCCGCGGCGCAGTCCGCATGCGTCTCCCCCACCCAGCACAGCGTTCCGTGGCCCCACAGGGGCTCCGCCGAAGGCCCCCGTGGCGCAGTCCGCATGCGCCCCCCTCACCCAGCACAGCGATTAGTGGCCCCATGTGGAGCCCCACCGACGGTCCCCGTGGCGCAGTCCGCATGCGTCTCCCCCACCCAGTACAACGTTTCGTGGCCCCACAGGGCTCCGCCGAAGGTCCCCGTGGCGCAGTCCGCATGCGCCCCCCTTACCCAGTACAAGCGATTCGTGGCCCCATATGGAGCCCCACCGACGGTCCCCGTGGCGCAGTCCGCATGCGTCTCCCCCACCCAGTACAACGTTTCGCGGCCCCATACGGGGCCCCACCGACGGCCCCCGTGGCACAGTCCGCATGCGTCCCCCCCACCCAGTATTGAGCTTCGTGGCCCCTCAGGGGCTCCGCCGAATGTCCCCGTGGCGCAGTCCGCATGCGTCTCCCCCACCCAGTACAACGCTTCGTGGCCCCATACGGGCTCCGCCGACGGTCCCAGTGGCACAGTCCGCATGCGTCTCCTTCACCCAGTACAACGTTTCGTGGCCCCATATGGAGCCACACCGAAGGTCCCCGTGGCGCAGTCCGCATGCGTCCCCACCCAATACAGCGCTTCGTGGCCCCATAAAGGGGTTCAACTGAAGGTCACATTGACACAGTCCTTATGCGTCCCGGTCATTTATTTCCGCACACCCCTCACACGTTTCGTGGCCCCAAAAGAGCTCCACCGAAGGTCCCAGTGGCACAGTCCGCATGCGTCCCCGCCACTCATTTCGGCATACCCCATCGCACGTTCCGTGGCCCCATAGGGAACTCCACCGAAAGTCCCAGTGGCACAGTCCGCATGCGCCCCCGCCACTCATTTCGGCACACTCCCCACACGCTTCGTGGCCCCACAGGAGCTCCGCCGAAGGTCCCAGTGGCACAATCCGCGTGCGTCCCCGCCACCCATGTCGGCCCACCGCTCACACCGCTCGTGGTCCCATATGGGGCTCCGCCGAAGGTCCCAGTGGCACAGCCCGCTGGCGCCCCCGCCGCTCATGTCGGCCCACCCCTCGCACGTGTCGTGGCCCCGTAGGAGCTCCGCCGAAGGTCCCCGTAGCACAATCCGCATACGTCCCCGCCACTCATTGCGGCCCATCCTCACACGCTTCGTGGCCCCATAGGAGCTCCGCCGAAGGTCCCAATGGCACAATCCGCATGCGTCCCCGCCCTTCATGTCGACCCACCCCTCACACGTTTCGCGGCCCCACAAGGGGCTCCGCCGAAGGTCCCAAGGGCAAAATCGGCATGCGTCCCCGCCGCTCATTTCGGCACACTCCTCGCACGCTTCGTGGCCCCATAATAGCTCCACCGAAGGTCCCCGTGGCACGGTCCGCATGCGTCCCCGCCACCCATTTCGGCCCACCCCATCGCACGTTTCGTGGCCCCACAGGAGCTCCGCCGAAGGTCACAGTGGCACAATCCGCATGCGTCCCCGCCACTCATTTCGGCACACCCCTCGCACGTTCCGTGGCCCCATAGGGAACTCCACCGAAAGTCCCCGTGGCGCAGTCCGCATGCGTCTCCCTCACCCAGCACAGCGATTAGTGGCCCCATATGGAGCCCCGCCGAAGGTCCGCGTGGCGCAGTCCGCATGCGTCTCCCTCACCCAGTTTTCGGCCAGACCTGCTGGGCACGTTCGTGGCCACGTTTTCGCGGAAACAGCTGAAGCACGTTTCGTGGCCCCGTAGGAGCTCCGCCGAAGGTCCCAGTAGCACAATCCGCATACGTCCCCGCCACTCATTGCGGCCCATCCTCACACGCTTCGTGGCCCCATAGGAGCTCCGCCGAAGGTCCCGCTGGCACAATCCGCGTGCGTCCCCGCCACCCATGTCGGCCCACCCCTCACACCGCTCGTGGTCCCGTATGGGGCTCCGCCGAAGGTCCCAGTGGCACGGTCCGCATGCGTCCCCGCCACTCATTTCGGCCCACCCCATCGCACGTTTCGTGGCCCCACAGGAGCTCCGCCGAAGGTCCCAGTGGCACAGTCCGCATGCGTCCCCGCCACTCATTTCGGCACACCCCTCGCACGTTCCGTGGCCCCATAGGGAACTCCACCGAAAGTCCCCGTGGCGCAGTCCGCATGCGTCTCCCTCACCCAGCACAGCGATTAGTGGCCCCATATGGAGCCCCGCCGAAGGTCCGCGTGGCGCAGTCCGCATGCGTCTCCCTCACCCAATTTTCGGCCAGACCTGCTGGGCGCGAGCAGTCCGCAGCCAGACCTTCTCTCGGTCCCGTGGACTCTCGCCCTGGGCCGTCGCCTTTCCAGCGCGCTGCTCCCTCGGCCGACGTCTCCCAGGCGTGATCCTGGACTGCGGCCGCCACGAAGTGGGGAACGGCAAGAAGGAGGACGGCGACCGGTGGCTGGAGCTCTGCGCGCCGCTCTCGCGCGCCACGCGCAACGAGGACCTCCTGCCCACGCGGGCGCCGCGCATCGAATTCTTCCCGGCAGGGCCGCCGGAGGGCTTGCGGAAGCAGCTGAAGCAGTTTCCTGCGCGCACGAAGCGGTGCAGGAGGGAGGCGACGGCCCTCGCAAGGGAGCTGGGCTTCGCCGAGTTTATCCGCGAGGCTTGATCTGAGGAGCGGCCCGCCCGAGACTCGCCGTCTCTCGACGGTCTGACTAATTGTTTGGCCTCGCGCCGCGGACGTCCCGCGCGCGTCGCTGGGACCCCTCCGGGGCGACCAGCGCGCGTCGCAGGAACTCCGCGCTGCGTTCTGCCCAGCGCCTCGCTCGCCCGTCGTCGGTCTGCCCAGCGGCAAAAATCTGCCCTCTATCAGCCAGCCAGCTAGCTCTCTTTGCTCCGGGTAGCGGACCACCCGCGCGCGTCGCTGGGACCTCTCTGGGGCGACCTGCGCGCGTCGCGGGAACTCCGCGCTGCGCTGCGCCCGCAGCCTTGGGCTTTTGAGTGCGCGGGCAAGGAGGGAGTAATAGAAAGGGAGGAAGCGGGCGCGATCCTCGCGGGGGGGCGCGCCGACATTGGCGTCGCGGCGCGCGGGCGATGCCGTCGGAGAGTCCCGGGGAAGCTCCTTGCGGCGGCCACGCCCAGCGTCACGAGTACTCGGAGGCAGTCATTCTCAAACTATTGACATTCATATAAACTTACACCATGCTTTGTCATACTCATATTCATGCACGAGACTCGCTCGCACGCAGATTCATTCACAGTCAGACGCACTCGCGCTCATATTCACCCGCGCTCAGTCTCCCTACGTACTCAGATCAATCGTTTTCGTTCGTTTTGTGTACCACGCCACTCATTTCGGCACACCCCTAGCACGGTTCGTTGCCTCATAGGGATCACCACCGAAAAAGTGAATCACAATTGCGGTACTCACACCTGCATATGGTTGGGTCCTTCGTCAGGCTATTTTTCTGCGGCTGATGCAAACAATATGGTCTATGAAATAACGCGGCTGGGAACAATTATATGTGGCATGACGTACTGCCCCAGTTGAGGATCTTACCTGCCAAATTCCGTTGCAGAGCATCGAGAAGTGAGTTTCGCCGCTCCGGCGCCCCCGCTGCGCTCCTAGAGGGCCGCGTTCCGGCGCGAACTGCACCGTCCGTCGGTCAGTTCGCCGTCCGTCCCAAGAGATCAGGGGATAACTGTCGACTTGGACAGCACATGCCACCTGTAGGTGGTCAATTTGCCGTCCACCCTCACCCTTGGATGTCTCTCCTTCTCACGCTGCCCTCCTACTGCTCGTCTTCCCTCCTCTATTGCTTCTCCTTGCCCCAAACCAAACTACTTCCCAAATTCGCAAGAAGAGCTTTAAAGTTCGAACTGTACGCCACCGATCAGCACGTCACTCCGACCCTTGCCTCTTAGCAGGCCTCATCGTGATTGGCTGGGAATGCCCACCACTAGAGGACCAACACATGGCATAAACATACTTTCTCAGAACTACGCGCGGGTTTCGTGGATCGGCGCTGGACTCCTCTCCCTCGCGCTCGGAGCGCGCCAACGGCGGCGCCGGTGACGCCGCCAGGGGGGCCCCATGGCGCCGACTCGGAAAATCTGCGGGGAGCTGCGGAAGTGTATGTTTGTGCTGTGCGTTCTTCTTCAAGGCGTTGTAGACAACCTTTCGTTGTTGACGCATCATGTTAACATTCCTCCTTTTCCTCCTCCTCCTCCTCCTCCTCCTCCTCTTCCTCCTCCTACAGTAGGTTCCTGCGGCGTCGGCGCGCGCAAAAAGTTTTGACACACCGTCGCTCGTTCAACATTGAACCGATCGTTCAACATTGAACCGATCGTCGCCCCGATCGTTCAAAAGTGAATTTCGTCGGGTCCTGTGGCGTTACCGAGTCCCTCGGTGCTTCCGCGTCGCAGAATCAAACCCTGAACGCCTTCGCTGGCGTCGCAAGCGCGCCATCGCCGCATGAACCTAACGTAATCCCCTCCCCGCTCGCCTTTGGGCGAACAGGTCCTCGCCCCACCCGCTCCATTGGAACTCGCCCTGGCATCGCGCGATGTTGCTGAGGTAGGCGCTGACGCCGGGTGTGCTGATAACCTCGGAAGGGCATCATCCTGTCTTTC